AAAAAAAATTTTGATGGGAATTTAAAATATTTTAATATTTCAAAAAAAAAATGTACATTAGCTAAAATATGGATGTAAATAAAGGATTGAATTAAGTAAGCTTATATTATTTTTCTTTCAGAATTTTTACAATCTGAGATGGTTACAGTTACCATCTTGATTGTAACAGTAATAATTTATAATAATTACAATTATTATTTTCGATAGTAATCATTACCATTATTAATATTAACTATTACAATTGTCAATGATACCACCGATTATTTTGTTACTAATTAATTTTATAACCATTTTAGATAGTAGGAGTTACTATTCTTGTATAGTAGGTAGTATAATTAATTTTTCTCCGTGTATGGTTCAAAACTTTATAGATGTATGTAAAGATTGTTTTTAGATGAATATTAATTTTTTATAAGCCATTTTTTACCTCATCTTTAATACTATCATTTTTGAGATACGAGGTTGCGTTAGAAAATTATCGATATATAATTGTAATAAATTTCCGACTCGAAGTTTATTGGAGCTTAAAATTCGTTTTAACAACTAATCAGAACTGATTAAATTATTTTTTATTATTGTTATTATTTATTTATTTTTAAAAACTTATAATTTTTATCTCAATTCCCTCCTTAGGAGCCTACGCGATAAAATTATATTTAAGCCCCCGTTCACTTCTTTACGATCTTCATTTAGGCGTACAAAGTTAAATCAAATCTTAGAATTACAGCTGAAGCCCCGGTTACCCTATCTCCACCTAGTTTAAAGGGAATTGACACGTACGTTTCACCAGTTTTTTCATCAGTACCACCTTTTCGATGGTACGAAAAACCACCGTCACAAAATGTTCCATCACCTTTCTTTCCATTGCGCTTTTTAATTTTAGAATTTTTAGGGTCCATACTTTCACCCTTTCACAATTTACTCTATGTTATCAGGGACGCTACTTACGTTAACCTGCATAATTCCAGAGCTATTTATAGTAAAACATTGGAGTCAGTCACGTTAGAGTGTGTCACGGAAAAAACATACTTCTTTCTTAACGTTACATGGTTTCCAGACGATTGTAAAATCTAATTTAACTAGTCCAGACTAATTAAGCTGGAAAGAATAATTTCAAGAAAATCCCCCTGAACACTGTCCAATACTTTTTAATTAGTTTTTTTTCAATCAGGGATTCATCCCAAGTTCTAATGACTTTATGTCTTGGGAAAAAAATAATTGAATTTCAATTTTTTAACATTTTTTATAGTGGAATAGACCAATTGTGAAGAGATAAAACATTTTACTGCTGCTGAAAAGTGAGTTCCATCTTCCGGTGAAGTAATAATAAATGTCCTTGCTATGAACTTTTCTCAATGAAACTTCACAAAGGCCCAAAGGCTGAGACATCTCCATTACCAAATTTACAATAAATTTTATTAGAGTTTAATAGATCCTGTTTTGAATTTCATGTATCTTATTCGAAAATCTGTGTATTAAATGTAACCAAAAAAATAATCAACAATATTTTTCTAGAAGACCTCCAAATTATAATTATAATATAATATTAAATTAAGAGCACTTGGGTAATTCCTTTTTGCGTGTGTGACGCTAGAGTGAGTCATGCTACCGTGTAAGACGCTAAAACCATCTAAAATGAGATTAGAAAAAATCACTTAAACGTGTCGGTTCACCTTTATATGCAAAAAAATATTCCAAAAAAGTAATCATTTTAAATATTGAAATGTATCAAAATTAAAATACATTAAAAGTATTCAATAACGTTTCCTAAATTTCCCTGTATTATTTATATGCGAAAAACAACAAATGTTTCAAAGCGATCTCATTCTATTTAGCTTTATAAACGCAAACGTGATTAACTTTAGCGTCATTCACGCTGCGTGATTCACACCGTAGTATTCCAGATTATAGTTATACATTGTTTAAAGAAACGTGCAGAAGCAGAATTATAATTCAATTTAACGAACACAGAGAATTTTTGATTATTCTTGATAGTAATGAATACAAAATATTCAAAATAAATTCTGCTACATTATTTCAAAAACACAGTATCGAAAGATAATAAATATCGACTATCGAACTAAAATGTATCGATAAGCACGTAATCGATTTTAGCAGCCATATTGATATTTTACTTATAGGTTAGTCTTTTGTTCTTCGTACTACCGCAATAGCAATGTTGTATTAAGTTCCTAAAGAATTATTCATAAAATATTATTTTAATTACGTCAGTTAAAAAATAATAATTACTGATTTTAATGGTCCATAATTGCTGTTTTAAAATAGAAAAGAAAAATAAAATTATTAATAATGGAAGGAGACAAAAATAAATTCTCCGACAAAAAGTTTGCTTCTGATAAAGAAGTCATATCTTTTATGGAGAAGTATGCTAAAGAACTCGGCTTACCAAAGTATTCAACAGGCAACAGCAAAAATATTTCGGCTCAACCACCCAAAAATCGGTTTATCAATCCGAGATTAGTTAAATTATACATGAAGTTTCATTGTCCGTATAGTGGTATCTACAAACCTACCGGTAAAGGGTTAAAAACGTCTACGTAAGTACTATTTTGTATTCTAACTAATATGTGATATTGAAGTTAGCTGTCAGCTCGGCTGCCCAATTTGAAAACACAGTAACTAACATTTAGAAATTTAAAAAAATTTTTCTTATTAATAAAAAGTTTGCCTGCCAAATTGATGAAAACTTTGATTTATGAACAGAAAATACTTGGATATAAATATTTTTAAGAAAAAATACTTAAAAATAAGCACTAAAAGTTATAAAAAAAGGCAACAATATTAAAAAAAATTAGGTAAAAGAATTTTACAATTACTGTGTTTTAAAATTGGGCAGCCGAGCTGTCAATTTAAAAAATTTTTTTAACAAATCAATTATAATAAAAAAATGTTTCTAAAATTTTTCAATTGTAATTTTTATTAATTTTTACATGTAGAATTTTTTAATTACATTTTTTTCATAATAATAAATTAATTCCCATTAAATTCTAAAAAATTTTTAATATCTGGCAACTTCAGATTCATAATATTTTAACATTATTTAATAGCAGATAATAAAATTAATAACTACTTTCTTAGATCGAGAAAGACGAACTGTCCGGCTATCTTTCATTTCAAGATAACGAATGATGGGAATTTCTTCTACATAGAAAGCTTCAGTGAAGAGCACAACCACGCAATACAAGTAAGTTGTTATTTAAAAAAAAAAAATAATATTAAAAATAATTTTTTTTTATATTATCATTATTATAATTAAATATGAATTTATAGAAAGAAAATACGACCGATGTCATCAACAAATCCGGTGTTGAAGAGAAAGACAAAGAGCGTCCTGGTACGAAGGAATGACTGAAAAAGGTCAACCAGATGGTACAAGTGAAATACCGGAATTACTGATCGTTTATAATGAGAATCAAGGCATCTTTCAGCTTTTAAGTACATCAAGTATATCAAATCTGAATAGGATTACAAACCTTACGCATCAAGAAACAGATTCTACTGGTACCGGTACCAGTAACTATGAAATTCCAAGACCTCCGGCAATTCCATCGCAAGACAGTGCCAGTTTGGATGAAAATAGCCAAGGTGGTGTCCAACATGAAGAGCTCAACGAAGTTGAAAATGCTACTGGTACCGATACTAGTAGCTATGAAATCCCAAGACCTCCGGCAATTCCATTGCCAAACAGTGCCAGTTTGGATGAGAATAGCCAAAGTGGTGTCCAACATGAAGAGCTCAACGAAGTTGAAAATGCTACTGGTACCGATACTAGTAGCTATGAAATCCCAAGACCTCCGGCAATTCCATTGCCAAACAGTGCCAGTTTGGATGAGAATAGCCAAAGTGGTGTCCAACATGAAGAGCTCAACGAAGTTGAAAATGCTACTGGTACCGATACTAGTAGCTATGAAATCCCAAGACCTCCGGCAATTCCATTGCCAAACAGTGCCAGTTTGGATGAGAATAGCCAAAGTGGTGTCCAACATGAAGAGCTCAACGAAGTTGAAAATGCTACTGGTACCGATACTAGTAGCTATGAAATCCCAAGACCTCCGGCAATTCCATTGCCAAACAGTGCCAGTTTGGATGAGAATAGCCAAAGTGGTGTCCAACATGAAGAGCTCAACGAAGTTGAAAATGCTACTGGTACCGATACTAGTAGCTATGAAATCCCAAGACCTCCGGCAATTCCATTGCCAAACAGTGCCAGTTTGGATGAGAATAGCCAAAGTGGTGTCCAACATGAAGAGCTCAACGAAGTTGAAAATGCTACTGGTACCGATACTAGTAGCTATGAAATCCCAAGACCTCCGGCAATTCCATTGCCAAACAGTGCCAGTTTGGATGAGAATAGCCAAAGTGGTGTCCAACATGAAGAGCTCAACGAAGTTGAAAATGCTACTGGTACCGATACTAGTAGCTATGAAATCCCAAGACCTCCGGCAATTCCATTGCCAAACAGTGCCAGTTTGGATGAGAATAGCCAAAGTGGTGTCCAACATGAAGAGCTCAACGAAGTTGAAAATGCTACTGGTACCGATACTAGTAGCTATGAAATCCCAAGACCTCCGGCAATTCCATTGCCAAACAGTGCCAGTTTGGATGAGAATAGCCAAAGTGGTGTCCAACATGAAGAGCTCAACGAAGTTGAAAATGCTACTGGTACCGATACTAGTAGCTATGAAATCCCAAGACCTCCGGCAATTCCATTGCCAAACAGTGCCAGTTTGGATGAGAATAGCCAAAGTGGTGTCCAACATGAAGAGCTCAACGAAGTTGAAAATGCTACTGGTACCGATACTAGTAGCTATGAAATCCCAAGACCTCCGGCAATTCCATTGCCAAACAGTGCCAGTTTGGATGAGAATAGCCAAAGTGGTGTCCAACATGAAGAGCTCAACGAAGTTGAAAATGCTACTGGTACCGATACTAGTAGCTATGAAATCCCAAGACCTCCGGCAATTCCATTGCCAAACAGTGCCAGTTTGGATGAGAATAGCCAAAGTGGTGTCCAACATGAAGAGCTCAACGAAGTTGAAAATGCTACTGGTACCGATACTAGTAGCTATGAAATCCCAAGACCTCCGGCAATTCCATTGCCAAACAGTGCCAGTTTGGATGAGAATAGCCAAAGTGGTGTCCAACATGAAGAGCTCAACGAAGTTGAAAATGCTACTGGTACCGATACTAGTAGCTATGAAATCCCAAGACCTCCGGCAATTCCATTGCCAAACAGTGCCAGTTTGGATGAGAATAGCCAAAGTGGTGTCCAACATGAAGAGCTCAACGAAGTTGAAAATGCTACTGGTACCGATACTAGTAGCTATGAAATCCCAAGACCTCCGGCAATTCCATTGCCAAACAGTGCCAGTTTGGATGAGAATAGCCAAGATCGGGAGAGCGATAATCTCAATTCTACTGGTGCCAGTATCAGTAAAAATGAAACTCCGGAAAAAAAGCGACGGAAGGTTAATACTGAGAAATTGAAGCCATTTTCTTCTCATTCAAAAGAAGAAAAAGTAAAAATTATGCTAAGCTGGCTTTCAATTGATAAAGAATACTTGGAAGGAAGAGGAAATCAAGAAAAAATACCTCTCTCAGCTTTAAACTTCGATCATAAAAAATTACATGATGGCTTTATTGATGAAAAAATTGATTTATCAATAATTAAAGATAAATTCGATTCTGATGCCTACAAAAAGTTGCTACGAATTATAAAAAAAAAAAACATGACAATGTTTACAACTGTAAATATTGTAAAAGAAAATTGAAATCTCAATGTATCCAGTGTGATGCTTGTTTGGAGTGGATTGATAAAAATTGCTCAGGACTACAGAAATTCCCTCCAAAAGAATCTAACTGGTATTGCAACAAATGTTCAATGACGTAAATAATACACAGTAAAAATTTTTACGTCATTTCGTGAAAAAAATTGGTGTTAAAAATTTTTGTGTTAAATATTTAACACTTTTTTGTGTTTCATTTACCATTTATTGTATTAAATAAACACAAGAAAGTGTTAAATAATGAACATAAAAATTTTTAACACAATTTTTTGACGCAATGACGCAAAATTTTTTGCTGTGTAGGTACTGTTATTTACGTAAAAATTTTCTTTTCTATTTTCATATTTAAATTATCTTTAATTTTGTTCTCTCTTTTAAAAAATTATCCATGTCAAAGTATTCAGTATAATAAATAAATGTTTTTATTATTATTATTATTATTATTATTTATTTTCAATGCATGCTTTTAAAGCATTTGTATTTTCCATACATCATTTTACATGGCTTTTTAATCACTTAGTGTTATCACACATGTTACTATTACACTAATTTTCTTACAGACTACTATACATTATATTCTTAATCTTATATCTTCACATAATGACCAGATTTACACTCATACACACATTTTCTCCTCAATAAAATCAACTCATTCTCTCCATTTACTCTCTGCTTTCCTAATATACTCTCACACATCTCTTTAACCACAGGTCCTCTCAACATTTCAATTATTGGCCATCGCAACTCATTCTCCAGTTTTTCCCCTTTCCAGCTAGATATATACTCAGCAACCCGCTCCTTCTGTAGCTTCATTATTTCACTGCAGCTGAATATATGCTCTAGGTTCTCTGTGACTCTTCCACATAATCTACAGCTCCAGTCTTAGAAGCCTTTCCTCGCTCTACCGACATTGCCACACCTGAGTCTGACCCAAATCTCTTTGTCTTCTTTATTCTCAGCTTCTTCATTTAAATACTTCGCTCCTCCTGGGCCTGGTAGTATTTCTTTGTACAGCGGGTTGAATTCCGAGTGTACGATCTTTCACCATTCCTTCTCTAGCTTCTGTTTCCACCAGTTGTCGAGATCTTCTTTCAGCTTCATTATTACTACTTCCTCCTTACCTCCCTCCCAGATCCAGCGACAGACTTCCACTGCCTCCATCTCTTCTAGTCTCTCTATCACTTTGCATCCCCATTTCGTGGGTCTGTTATTGATAATGCATCTCATCTCCTCCATCAGACATGCTTTTGGCCATCTACCCTCTTTCATCGCTAGTATATCTTCCCAGTATTTTATGGCTCTCTTCCTGCAGGTGTATTCAATACTCTCCAAGCCTAACTCCACTCTCCAGATGTACATCGGGGTATTCCTCGCTACTCCTAACGCCATTTTGGCATATCTTCCTTGCATTTCCTTTATAGCACTTATGTCCAGTCATCCCCAAGTTTCTACTCCATACAATGCCACCGATCTGACTAGTGAGTTCATTAAATATATTCTATCATCCCTCCTATCTCTAGCAGCCCTCTTCATCATCCCCCAGGCTGCATTTGCAGCTTTTTGAGATTTTCCCACCATTTCCTCTACATGCCGTCTCGTGCTGTTCTTTGACGATAAATGTTTTTATTATTATTATTATTTTATTATTATTAGAAGTATGAATACATGAAATCGCAAAAATGATTCTACGAAATTGCGAAGGTACTTTATAGCACTAGAATTTATAATTCCTCTAATTGAAAATTAAAAAAATAATTGAGGTAGAATCAGAATTTAAAATTTAAATTTTAATGGAGTTATTTGTTGAGTTAATTGTTTTATAAATTTATACAGTTCCCATTATTTTATCTACAAAATATTATGGATTAAAAGATTATTAATTATTGCAGTAAGAGACTCTTGGATAAAAAAAAATGTTTTATGGTAATCACAAAATATCTAACTGAGAAAAGTGAATTTTATATTATATGGATTTTTACTTGTATGCCAGTCTTGGTTTTTACAAGGCTGAGTAGATGGTAGCTGTCACATGAAGCGAGTGCGCCACCATCCTGGGTTCATACTGCTCTGTTCATTCTACGTTTGGACCCCAGCACATCCCTTTTCACTCCTGTGTTTCACCTTATAATTAACCTTGTTTTTCGCACATTTATACTCAACTTTATTATTACCACTGCGGTTGTGGACCGACTCATGTTTTTTTCTGTACTGCGTTTACCCTATTCCTCGCCTCTTTCTAACGGTTGTTAGAGTAGTGGCGACAAGGAAACCACAGAGAAAACCCATGGGTAGAATCTAAGATTTCAATTTTGAAACTGTAACTTCTACAGACTCCAAACTTGATATGAATCTTCGTATATGATGTCAAGTTCAGCTAAGAATGGATTTAATGAAATTTTGACCCCAAAAGGATTGCGGAGGCATCAACTATGAGAAATTCTCATTACCAAACAATAATTTTTATAGACTTGTTTTTTAGGAATTTTTTATTTATGATGAATAAATTATCTCGAATAGGGTCTTACTAAATTCCTCCCCCATAAAGAAGAACCGGGGTGTTAATTGTCAAAAAATTTTTTTCCTTTAAATACAGTTTCTGCACGTATAAAATTGATAGAACGTCAATAAGAAAAGGAAATTCCAGGGATGGCCAGCATCAACCGATTTGAATATTTTTTATCTTTCTTAATAATTGACATCATATGCAGGTTGTGTAAGAGTGGTAAATAGAATAGAAAAAAATTTAGTTGCCTATAAACGAATAGAATTACTTCATAATGAAATTTACAACATGTATAATAAACGTCAATAACAAAAACTAAATATATATATTTTTCGAATGATAATGAAATCTACACTGATAGAAGGATTTCTTAGTATTAAAAAAGATTTGTTAATATTTAACAAATAATTTCTTAACGGAGTCTTATCAAAGAAATATTTATTAATATTTAACAAATCATTTATTAAACATCATTTTCTTGTATTTAATAAATATTTCTTAGTATCTAATAAACGATTTGTTAATATTTAATAAATAATTTCTTTCCATTTAATAAATGATTTATTAACATTTAATGAATCACTTTTTGATGATTAATAAATGAATATTTTATATTTAATATAATTTTTATTAATTGATCAAATTTTTTTGTTTATATTTAAGAAATTATCTATTAACTTATTTATTAAAATTTAATTCATAAAATCACACAGTTCAAGAATATATTTATGTATATATGTTTTTGCATGCAGCTAAGATAATATATAAGATCTTATATATTATCTTCCCTGAATAAAAAAAAGTATTGGGACAAAGGAAAAAGTATTTGAAAAGTATTGGATTGACTAGAAAACCAATCCTTTTCAATATTTTTTTCTTTGTCTCAATACTTTTTTTTTTATCAGGGTTACATGTAGCTACACACATTCATTAATATTTCATTTATAGATAGATAGAGTTTTATTTGTATCACTTACAAGTGTTTTACAAAGGTTTGATATTTATAATATCTTTATAATTATAATTTAAAATTTAAAATTTAGAATATAAAATAAAAATATAAAATATTATATTAAACATTAAATATTAGTCTTTGGTAACAAATCTATTTTTAACAGATTTCATTTGCCTGTCCAGTTTTTTTTGTTAATTTCCAATACACTAATATTTTCTTTTTTCTTCTTTCTTGATTAAATACATATTTATATTTATTGCTCCATTTTCTTTTCTTTTATCACAGACGCAGCACTTTAAGTCTCTCATTCCCGTCCGTCTCTTCCCCCTCTTTTAGCTTCTGTTCCATCTCTTTTACTATTTTGCATAATTTTTTATCTATTTTTTCTTTTAGCGCCCACACTATTTTTTTCCTGATACTATCACCCTCACTTTCTTTGTGCCATTTTTCTAGCTCGTTTCTTGCATCCCCACTTAAATTGTCTATCATTACTTCACAACTTAATATATGCTCTAGCGTTTCATCTTCTTTTTTACACATTCTGCAATTCCAGACTTCTAGTCCGAGTTTCCCCGCTTTTGTCAAATTTCCGCATCTGAGTCTCGCCCACACTTCTTTCATCCCCCCACTGACTTCTTTTACATTCCAATATTCATTTTCCTCTTCTAATAAAATTTCTTTATATAACTCATTATAGTTTGATTTGTTTATTTTTTCAGTCTCAGCTTCTCTCAGTTTTGTTCTATAGTATTCTAGACCAGTCTTAATTTTTTCTTCTATTTCTTCTATCTCCGCTCTGTCGTATATCATTCTTGTTATTTCTTCGCACTTCATTTCTTCTGTCAGACACTTCATTTTTTTACCCCATTTCATCGGGTATTTATTTAAAATTCCTCTTATCTCTTCCCTCAGGCATATTTTTGGCCATCTTCTCTCTTCCATTTTTGTTATTTCTACAATATATCTCCAAAATCTTTAAACAATTACCCATCTAATCTCTTCCTCTCCTATTTCTCTCCTTATTATATATTTAGGAGTATTTCTTGCAACTCCCAACGCTGATCTGTCTAATTTATTTTGTAGTACTTCTATTTTTTTCACTTTTTCACAGCCCCATGTCTCCACTCCATATAGGCAACCTGCTCTGACTAGTGTGCTATACAAGTACCTGCTAATATTTCATTTATATTTATAAACAAAAATAACTAAAACAACCATCGTATAAAATTTTCTGTTCTTTCAATTTTAAAATACAATTTCATAGTAATTAACACTATAACTAGAATAAACAAATTAATATTTTTTATATTAAACTACGCTGAGAAATAACATAAAATCCGTTTGATAGTACATGTGTTTTTAATTGTTTTTATATATTGATTAAAATTAAACTGAGTAAAATTTTCTACATCACTTGCTTTCGGTGCTATCAATTGATATGCTTTGATATGAGTATTAAGCCCAATGGTTGTACATTTTTTATAAGAAAAATAAATAGTTTTTGTATCAGATAAAATTGCAGTAATGATGCCAAAAACGGAATTATTTTCTGAGTTATTTGATAAGTGAAATGCAAATGATGGCTTAAATAAAGTTTTATTAATTTTTACAGACTCGAAAGCTTTAAAATCATTAGAATTTGTCCCAAAATTACGAACTGTATTACATGCACTGATCCCAACTCTACGAAATTTTTAAATCCTTCATTCGTCAAAAACTTTTTACTTAAATCCAACTGTAATTTTCTGGCCAAAGTTAATAATATATTGATACGACACTTGACAACTTGGGCATGATGCTTCGATTTTTTGTGAAAAGATTAAAATCGAGAACATGAAAAAAATTTTGGTGAACCCAAAAGTCTAATTATAGTTGGATAGTGTGTTAAATTATGGAATTTAGGTGTCAGATGTCCTTTGAATGTTTTCAAGTATAGTTCATGATGAAGTTTTATCAACACACCAAGATAAACTATATCGTTTTCTGAAATAGTTGTTGCTGTAACTATACTGATAATATCAAATAAATAGTTATACAGTTGCCATGCAGGATGATCTGGTGGAACCATATCCCCAATTAATATTCCAAAATATGTTACAAGACAAGACATCTCTACCGCTGTAATGATTAAATGTTCATTTTGAACATGACTTCCGATGATTGATGAAATTTTATTACCGCAGCTTCAGAATGATTAAAAAACTTTAATCTGTTGTTTAAATGTTCCAGGCTAAAATACTTTTCTCGAATACAATGTTTAATAATTTTGGCCATATCATATCGATACAGATTCCGAGGTACAAGTCGTGCATAACATCAACAGTCCAATTGTTCGTGTTATGAAAAAGTTTTATGTCGTTAAAAACACAACTGGTCTTAACACCTTTGCTATGATTCAGCAAATCTTCTTCGTAATTTTGCTTAGTTCTTAACAGATTTTTATTTTCGACTGTTAGTTTTTGTGCATCACATTTTGGTACCCGACAAAATCGACAGCAATACTCACTGATAAAACTTTCATTATACCCAAAAAGACTATTTAGAGCCAAATTATCACCAAGTATTCCAATTAATACAAAGTAAATACTGTGATTTTGTCCATTAACATTAATTGTTATACCTTTTGTTGCCAAGTAATTCAATTCATTATTGATTTCAGTAAAACATCTTTCAGCTCCGAATTCTTTATAGTCGGAATTGTAAATAACTTGTGCCAAAATAATATTGTCCACAGTTGACGCGAATTTCGGCGGTAATGAAGCAATTGAAAAATATAATCCCACAATTTTGTGAATTCCTGCTGACGAAGAAAGAGGATCGTTTACTTCAAAATCATCATAATATAAATTAAGAGGTATAACAGTCTGTTCACAAAAAAATTTAGAAATATTTTTCCAAATTTTTCCTTAAAACAAACTTGTGTAAAGTCTTTGATCATCGTATTTAGCAGATTCGTCGACAATAAAATTTTTTACAACTTGAAAAATGTTGGGTAGTTCTAAAAATTTTTTTAGTACAGCACGTAACGGAATTATTTGTCCAAAGCATGGTTTTTTTGTCCAAACATCGATGTTATCCACAACTTTGTTGTCAGATATCTCGCCAATTTTTATTTGTTGTGGGGCAACGTAATGACTGGAAGCTTTAAATTGCTGCATACATCTCCAATTAGAATCAAAATTATCAAAAATGTCAAAGTCAAAATATCTTTCCATCAGCTCATGGTACTCTGCCGGAATGCGTTGTTTTAAATTTTTTAAAGTAGCTGTAGATACTTTTGTCATCAACAGTTGAAAATCCTTGATGATTGCTTGGGCTAAGTTTTGTGTAATACCGGGATTACTATAAATTTTGTTAACAAATTTAAAAACTTCGTTTTCAACAATATTTTGTGTATTATTCATTTTATTGAGTAAATATAAAATTTATATTTTCACAGAATTTTTATTTTTAAAATTTTTATTAATTTAACGGTAAGTTAATTTTTAATTTATTTACAATAGTGAAAATTGAGGGTATTTGCACATCAGACTCAGTTTTAATTTTATAAACACCCCACTGTATAAAGTACCAAAAATGCTGACTTTCTATCGGATACGCGAGTTTAAACATTAAATAAAATTTGAAAAGTAAGTCGAATCCATCCGCAAAAGTTGAAGCTTCAAAACGATGATTATCAACTTGAATGTAAATTTTTTTCAAGTCCAATGCATTCGGGCCCACAAGTATTAAATATGGTTGAATTGGAGTTTTCGCCTTTGCTTTTGCAGCAACTTTCAAAGCACAAGCGTTGTCAATGTCACCAGGAATTTTCACGTGCATACATATACTTCTAAAAGCATCTTCTTGCACTTGCTTTTCGGTAGAAGTATTTTTATTTTTCTTGCGCAATTTGGATGTTAAAATATTTAGAAAATCTCGAGTTGAATAATATTCTTGCTTAGCGAAGAAACTTGTTCATTACTCGTTTCTAAGAGATTTAATTTCTCTTAATGCTCCGAATTTTATTTATTAAAAAAAAACTTCTTCAGTTGAAGGAAAGTGTTATTCCAACACTCATTAAAATTTCCAACTTGACAAGTATAAGTTTGCTCAAAATCTGTATTTATCAATTCAGCGCATACAAACTCCTTTAACATAGGCCAATCATTCAGAATATCAGTCGCACTTAAATATTTGTTTGATAAAACTTCAGTTCTTCGTAACTGATAAGACGATTTCCAATGAAGTATCACCTGAACTTCATCGCGATGATGTTTTAACCATTTCTTACTCTCCAGCGCAGGATCTTGACTGTTGTCCTGATTTTCATCTAATTCCATACAGTCATTGGAAACATCGGCGACTTTTCGCAAACTTCTAATGGTTGTCAAAGTATTTCGGTATTTATCTACCAATTTCCCTTTAGAAATCTGACTAACTTGGCGTAAAGAATTCTTTTTTTTTACTGGAGGTACGTAAAAAGTTTGAATACACTCTGCTGGAAACAAATTAACTATTTTCTCAGCTAATTCTTCAAAATCTTCGTTAATAAGAGTTAAGTTTTTTTGTAAGCAGTAAATGACTATAATTTCACAGAGATGAGATATCCATACAGCTTCCAAAGAGATGTCTTTCTTGCTGGCGATCAACAGCAGTTCCTTGCCAACAGGGTGGTCATTCAACACCTTTTTCAAATCAAAATGACAAGATTTAGACTCTTTTTTTTTTTTTTTTAGTCAAAGAAGAATCAGTTTCAGTACTAGTAGTTCCAGTAGTGTCGTTAGAACCAATAAATTCCACGGGTATATTTTCAATTACAACATTATTTTGCGATCCATCAACCACTGGAATGAATTCATAATCCTTATATGTAGCAACCTGTAAATGAAGTAAAAAAAATTAATAATTATTAAGAAAAATTTTGTGTTGTGTGTAATATTAATAACAACAATAAAATAACTATTTTGAAAACTAAAATAAACTTTAAAAGTTATGATTATTTTTATACACTGTAAAAAATTTTTGGGTTCTACAGTGTGAATGATTTGGTATAAAAAATTTTGTCATTAAAGTTACAAAAATATAACAAAAAATTGAGAATTGAATAAACCAATAAAAATTAGAAAAAATTTCTTGAATCTCATTTTTACTCCAAAATTTTTTTACAGTAATAAAAAAAATTTTTCAACTGAAAAATAATAATGAAACGTACATGTTCAGGGTATTTTTTATTTAATAGAAGGCGTAAACCAACACTAGGAATAACTTCTTTTCGGACTTCTTCCGTAGCTCGTGTAAGAAACTCTCCGAGAATATCGAGGTCAGTGATATGATTTACTGAAGGGAGAAGGGAAAAATAATTTGGTTGAATTGGAGTTGAAATTAAAAACTGAATACAAATGATTGAGTAAAATGTAAACACAATGGATAGGTTATAGATTGTAATGCCGAGTGTATGATTTTATCAAACCAAAAACTTACCACAAAGAGTTGGATATAACTCGCTTAAGTTATTATTAAGAAAATAAACGTTGATGTTCTATTATTATGTGCGTCATTCCCATAATATTATAGGAACCATTCCCATTCCCATAATTTTTGGAAAGATTCCTATAAAATATCTCTCCGTGTATAGCTTTTTTATCCAGAAAACTAAAAACAAACCACTTATAATGAAAAAAATTAGAAAAACGGTTCACCCTAAAGGTCATCCCTGCAACTTCCCGCTCATTTTGTATTTAAACGCTTCAAACTACACATTACGTTTTTGAGCTCTTCGAGCTCAAAAATATTATTTTTGTGTCAATGGGTTGGTCACACTAACTGACCTAACAAGACGATCGGTCCCTGCTGTAACTCACTGGGAGTGTCCGGAACCTGTATCGTAGTTTCCGACGATGCAGGCCACGGCTGATGTGAGCTTGCTCTGCCGAGGTATATGTTGCAGCAGTGTATCAGGAGCCAGTCACTTCGGGCCTTGACCAGGAAGGACGCAGTGAGTGTTAGAGATCGGAATCTTCACCACCCCGAGCGAGTCTAGTCCGTCCGTGTATTCCGGGACTGAGTAAGTGTCGGCTAGGCCTCAGGGAACTGGGGTAAGAGTACTATCTCCGAGGGTACACCCGCTCCTAGTTATGACAACCCACTCCACTCCGTACGATGCGCTGGT